GCCATCTTGAGACATCTTGGCCCATCTTGAGGCATCTTGGAACTCATCTTGGGCTCTCTGAGGCGCTCTTGGAGCCGTCTTGACCGAAAAATCACACTCTGACACCTCGCGAAACGCCCCGTCCAGGTCCAGGGGAGGGGGTAGAGGGAGGGGTAAACCCCTCCCCGAAGGGGGGATAGGAGGTTGGAAGAGGAAACGCTCTAAACCACCTGCGCCCAGAGGGCTGGTGGGATTATTCAAAACAAAGTTTCCGAACAACTGCCCAAAATCGCACAAGAATCCGCCGCTCTGGAAAACGCAATTGTCCAAAACACGGTTTCCGGACAATTGCCAAAAATCACCCAAGAATCCGCCGCTCTGGAAAACGCAATTGTCCAAAACACGGTTTCTGGACAATTGCCAAAAATCACTAATGAATCCGCCGAGGACCCATCTCATACCTGACTCATCATCATCATCATCGTCATCATCATCAGCTCTCGCCACCGGGCAACCATTTTGAGTGGATTTGGAGCTGTTGTAGAGTTGTTTCACGTCGATGTTCGAACCTCAAACCTTTACTATCGATGTTTGAGGTTTTCTGGCCTTCTCGCCGCTTTGCGGGAGCGACTGCACGTCGGCTGTCTCATAATGCACAGCGCGTGCGATTGGAGGGGGAAGGAGAGGGGCAGCAGCAGCAGGAGGGGAGGGAGGAGGAGCGAGAAAGGAGGAACGGCCTTGCATACAAATCTCTCGGCTCGACGCTGCTGGAGCGCATCGACTAGAAAGCTTATTCTGGGTCCAGCCCCAAACTCTCGGTGAAACGTCGTACGAAGACTTCCAGCTTGGGGGGTCCCGCACGTGCTCCATGGCGTGCTCGTCTGATGCGAACGCATGCAGCACCTTCCCTAAGCATCTGACTTGAAATCCGTCGAGTCTCCTCCGTTCAGCTTTGTTCAGCCACCGGCCTGCGCGGCAGGCGGGCGCTCCGCCCTTCGTCCTCGATCAGCAACAGCATATGAATATCTAGTTGCCCTCGGCTAATCCCGCCATCGTGCCTGGGTTGCGGGCGCGAGGCCTCTCAAGCGTTTGTAAAGATCTTGTGAGGGACCCTCTCCAGCCCCCCTCGAATGCAGATGTGCGATTGATTTGTCCGAGCTCAGTCTGTCAACTCCTAGTGTCTTGCGGCCAATCCTGCCGCCGTGCCTAGGTTGTGGGCGTGGAGCTTCTTGGATTCTGGTTGAGATATTGTGCGGAGCCCCCCTTGTGGCCGCAGACATTGCGGCTCGAGTTCGCTCTGAACTTTTCCATATTTTCCCATGGTGAAGAACATCCTTCGGGGCGCAAAGCGCCAGAAACGCCGCGATGTGCAAAAGTCTTCGTTGAAGAAACGGGATGCGCGGCTGCCTGGGCAGGTGGGACGCGCACTGGCGTCCCTGAGCGAGGACTTGCTGCGTCTGCGGGGGATTCCCAAGCTCCCCCTGCAGCGCGCCAGCGACATCTTAAACCTCATCCTGTTCTTGCGGGCGTTGCTGGAGGCGAACGCGAGCATCGGGGTGCGTGCGTTGGCCTTCCTGTGTGCTCACCATATCCGAACCCCCAGCCTCGCGCGTTGTCTCTCGGACTCTCTGGCGCCTCTCAAGTTCACGCGGGTGGCGGACTGCATGGCGAAGCTAAACGTCATCCTCGCCTCGGCGCCCTTCAACAAGCAGACGTCGGGCCTTCCTTACTTCATCGGGCCCACGTCGCTCCACACCGGGGCGCCTCAAGTTCGGAAGTGGCCGGTCGAGGACAACGACTTGAAGTTGCTCTCGGCCGCCGACGCGATGCTGCAGTGGTCGCAGGGCGCGGTCGACGCACTCGAATGCACGAAGGTGTTTCCTTTTTTTGGAAGGGGGTTGGTGAGGGAGCGGGGAGAAGGGAGCCGCAGTTCGCCAGGATGTATGTTATCTGAGACCATGCGGTTGATAAGTGTAGCAGGTCTTTTTCTCGACATCCTGCCGCGATCTCTTCTCTCGGGGACCTCTGCGGGCTCTCGCGTTCTCTGGCAATAGCAGAGCGCTATGCCTTTGCAACATCAAAAGCAAAACTCGGCTCGCTCAGCCGCAGAGGTCAAACATGGCTCTTGCGAGCAGGAATTTGAGAGGTGTAGTAGATGTTTGCTTCGATTTCCTGTTGATGCCCTCTCTCAGTGACCTCTGCGGGCTTTCAGTTCCTCAGGCAATGGCAAGACCTTAGGCTTCTGCAATGTCAAACACAGAATTCGGCTCGCTCAGCCGCAGAGGTCAAACGTGGCTCTTGTGAGCAGGAGTTTGATAGGTGTAGTAGATGTTTGGTTAGATTTACAGTTGCTGTCTTTCCCGAAGACCTCTGCGAGCCCTCCGGTCCTCAAGCAATGGCAAACCAACAGGCTTCTGCAATGTCAAACACAAGACTAAGCTCGAAGACTTGCGGAGGTCAAAACGTGGCTCCTGTGGGCAGGAGTTTGATAGGTGTAGTAGATGTTGGTCCGATCTCCTGTTGCTGCCCCCTGGCGAGGCTTGCATTGACATTGGCCCGCGCCATGTTTCCCGCGTCTCCAGGGAGGCGCCCCCCGAGGAACCAGGCAGCCCTAGACCGTAATATTTCGCCGGAGTCGTGCTCCTCCGACACCTCCAGAGAGGCTTTGCAATCAGGTCGCGGGGGTCGGTGTTGTTTCGTTTTGAAAGTTAGCTGTCATGTGAATATGTCGCCCTGGGAGGTTCTGGAGCGGCTGCCGGCAATGGGGAAGCACGCGTACCACGTGATGCGCTCGCGGGGCACGGCGTGCAGCACGATGAGCAAGTGGAAGGCGAAGAACTCCCTCGCGTTCCGCGAGTCGTTGCTGCGTTGCTTGGCCGAGAAGGAGGCCGCCGATGCCACGTCGTCGCACGTGGCGGCGACCAGCAAACTCCTCGACGCCAGCGGGGAGAGCGCGCGCTTCCCGGACAGCATACAGCCGTGGGTTCGCCGTGGACAAGAGCTTCATGCAGGAGAGAGGGCTCTGCTGTGCTGCGAGCTCGCGGGGTTGGGCGCGGCGTGCGGCATCTTCCCGCGCCAGAGCGACTTTCGGGGGCAAGGATTGATTGGCGCTGCCAAGATGGTGGACCGCGGCAAGCTCAGCGCCCTGCAGCACTTCTTATCCACCGCCCAGGAGCTCAAGTGGCCAGCTGACCCGTCGGCGCGCCGACTGGAGAACGAGAGCGTGGAGGAGGCCTGGCCAGAGGTGTTCAAGAAGATGAAGCTGGAGCATTCCAGCCTGAGCACGAAGAACTTGTACGCGAATTTCCCAGCTGAGCTGAAGCTGAAGTTGAAGAGCTGAGAGGGGGCGGGCGGAGCGGCGATGGGGGCAGGAGGAAAGAATAATGGCGAGGAAGAGTACGCAGAGAGGGGAGAGAAGGCTCCTGTGAGTAGTAGTTTGATCGGTGTAGTAGATGTTTGGTTAGATATCCTGTTGCATCTCTCTCTCTCAGATACCCCTGCGGGCTCTCAGTTCCTCAAGCAATGGCAAAACAATAGGCTTCTGCAGTGTCAAACACAGAGCTTGGCTCGCCCAGCCGCAGAGGTCAAGCGCGGCTCTTGTGAGCAGGAGTTTGATAGGTGTAGTAGATGTTTGGTTAGATTTCCTGTTGATGTCCTCTCTCAGAGACTTCTGCGGGCTCCCAGTTCTTCAAGCAATCGCAAACCAACAGGCTTCTTCAGTGTCGAACACAATACTGCGCTCGTCGAGTTGCAGATGTCAAACATGGCTCTTGTGAGCAGGAGTTTGATAGGTGTAGTAGATGTTGGTCCGATTTCCTGTTGCTGTCCAATGGCGAGGCCTGCATTGATATTTACCCGTGCCAATATCAACTGCGCGCTGCAATTGGGGCGCGTCGTTGCAATTGTCCGCCAGGAGGTTTTCCGGACAATTGTTGCTTCAGAACAGAAACTCCCTGGAGGGGTGGGAGGTCCACGAAACTTGAGAAATCATATGGTATACCGATACCTTGCTCGCTCTGGCGGAGCCTCCCTGGAGTGGTGGGAGGGGCGCGAAACGTGATAAATCACACGGTATTCCAATACCCTGCTCGCTCAGGCGGGGCCTCCCTGGAGAAGTGGGAAGGGCACGAAACCGGATAAATAGCACGGTATCTCGATACCCTGCTCGCTCTGGCGGGGCCTCCCTGGAGGGGTGGGAGTAGTATGGTATGTTATGGTATGGTAAGGTACAGTATGGCATGGTACAGTGCGATATGGCATGATATAGTGTAGCATGGTATGTTATGGTGTAGTGTAGTAGGATATGATATGGTATAGGTTAGTATGGTATGCTATATGGTATGGCACTGTATGGTGCGGTATGGCATTGTATAGTGTAGTATGGTATGTTATGGTATGGTATGGTACGGTATGTCATGGTACAGTACGGTATGGCATGGTATAGTGTAGTACGGTATGTTATGGTGTAGTGTAGTATGGTATGATATGGAACAGATTATTATGGTATGTTATGTGGTATGGCACGGTCGGGTACGTATGGCATGGTATACTGTAGCATGGTATGTTATGGTATGGTACGGTACGGTATGGCATGGTACAGTACGGTATGGCATGGTATAGTGTAGTATGGCATGTTATGGTGTGGTGTAGTATGATATGATATGGTATATGTTTAAATGGTATGTTCTGTGGTATGGCACGGTATGGTACGGTATGGCATGGTATAGTGTATTATGGTATGTTATGGTCTGGTACGGTATGGTATGGCATGGTACAGTACGGTATTGCATGGTGTAGTGTAGTATGGTATGTTATGGTGTAGTGTAGTATGGATATGATATGGTAGAAGTTAGCATGGTATGTTATGTGGCATGGTAGGTACGGCATAGTGGAAGGAAGCGGGAGGGGGAGAAGGAGGAGGAGAAGGAGAAGGAGAAGGTATTCTGGGAAAACAAGAATCCCTTTCAGGATGTGGGGAAAAATCACGACGTCGGAGATCCGGGCCCGGCTCGGGGGGGTTCATGGTGGGCCCGCCGACGGAGGGCGCTTCGAACTTCCTGGCGCGGCGCTCGCTCTCTCGGCAGCGGCGCCGCTTTCCGAGGGCACGGCCGCTCGGCAGCCGCGCGAGCACACCTCGCCGGAACTCCTCGCCACCCCAGATCTCCGACGTCGTTATTTTTTTCAATAAGAATGTTTTGTTTTTTTGTGTTTTGCTATGTTCGGCCTCCGGAGGCCCTCAAAGGGCCCGGGAACGTCACGACTCGACCCAGGACGAGAAACCGGCCCCGGGGAATTTGTCAGGACTTCGGGGGACTTCGGGTGAGCCCGCATTCAACAAATCACGACGTGGGATCTCTGGGTCTGCATTCCCCCGCCGCCCGCCGCGTCGCGATCTGCATGGCCCTGGGGTTGATTGCCTTCGCGATGCTCTCGAGCAGTGCAAAATATGTTCGGGAGCCAAGAGGCGACAGAGGCATCAGCTTGGAAGATCCATGCGAATTCCTTTGCTCGGCTATGACCCCCCCTTCCCCGGCGGCGGCGGCGTCGACGACAACGTGGACGTAGACGTGGACGTGGACCACGACCACGACATCCACGACGACGACGACGACGACGGCGACGGCGTCTGCGGCGGCGGCGGCGGCGGCGGCGGCGACGACGACGACGACGACGACGACGACGACGACCGTGAAGGCGGCGATCCCCGGCGGAGCTCGCCTGGGAGAGAGGGCCCGGGCATCCCCGCCGTGCCTGGAGATCCTGCGCTCCGCCCGTCGTCGTCGTCGTCGCCCCTCTTGCGCGCCTTCCTGGGGCCGTCCTGTGTGCCCGCGCGCTCCTTGCCATCTCCCTCCGACTCCTCCGCCTTTTCGGGAATCGTCTCTGCTTGGCCCGCATTCTTAATACTTATTCACCTCATGTTCGAACCACTTGTGGGTAACTCGTGACGTTGCGTGTGTGCGTGCGCATTTGCACGCAGCTGTGAGATTGTCAAGGGCTGGAAATTGCTAGAACCGAAGCGCGCGCGTGGTGCTAGTGAACACGAACATGAAAACGAAGATGATGATGCTGATGATGATGAGGATGATTACGATGATGATGATGAGGATGATGACGATGATGATGATAATGCTGGTGATGCTGGTGATGCGGGTGATCATGATGACGGCGACGACGATGGTCACGATGAAAATGATGATGATGATGATGGTGAGTGGGCGCCCGCCGGTTGTGAACGCCGTCTTGGGCCGTTTTGTTGCAATTGTCCGCCAGGGGCTTTTCCGGACAATTGCCGCGACAGAACAAGAGGACGATTAATATGAACATGAATCTAGACTTGGATGTGAATATGAAAACGAAGATGCTGATGATGATGATGGTGATGATGATGATGATGATGATGTGCCTGGAGAAGGAAGTCAAGAGTTACGCTGCGGGGGTGACGCTCCTGCGCCCCAAGCGGGAGAGCGAGGGCGTGAAGTTGAAGTTTGCGTGCGGTCTATGCCCGTTCCGGTCGTTCTCGACGCAGGCGTTGCTGGCCGCGCACGTCTCCAAGTACCACCTCAGAAAGACGCGAGTCGTGGCCTCTGGCACGAAGCAGTTCAATGACGTGTGCGCGTTGTTCGACAACGACCGACTTCTGCGCACTCCAGCAGGGAACTTGCTGAAGCGGTCTGCGACGATCCTCCGCGAGACAGCATCTCCTGCTGTTCATCGCGGACAGAACGCCATTGACAATGGCATTGTCCTGGTCCTCGACGAAGACGGGCCGTCATATCAGAACAAGGCAGCTGTGGGACAGAATCTCGCGTGCAGACGAGTGGGGCACACGTACTATACCCGTGGCTTCGCGGATATTCTGTTGCAGGAGTCCTTGCGCCACCATGGGCGCGTTCGCCCTGCGACGTTGCGGACGTGCGCTCGCGTCGTGGAGCAGGGCTCCGAGCTGAGCAGCATGTTGCCGACGCGCGTTGATCACTGGCTGAAGCTAATGGAAGACGTGTTCAACAGCGCGCACGTAGAAATGCGCAGCGCGGCGCTGATGGAAGAATGCCACCGGCATGAGGAATTCCCCCACGTCTCCATGGACGCCACTATCCGCATTCTGCGCAATGTCACGGGCCAGGCAGACTATCGGTCTGCACAAGCAGTGCGCGACGCTGCGCCCGTGCCGGACGTGGACGCCAAGCGCTGCGTCCTGACACTCGCGGGCAGGGCGGGCGCGGCGCTCGGTGTTTTCCTGGCGAAGGACGAGGGAGCTGACGAACTAGCTGGAGCCCTTGCAGCTCGTTGGTCGGCGGCGTGCAGATCGCAGACGGTGTCCATCGCCAGTGATCAGCCGAGCAGAGCGCTATTCCGGGCCATGCGATGCTCATGTTTTCCAAATTTATTTATCTTGAGCCTCGACCCGGTCCATCTACCCATCACGTACGAGGAGACGCACTGGAGGAAAAAGACAGTGGGATCACGACTGTTGCGGATACTGATGGCCAAGTTTACGAAGGTGGATTGCACACTACCCGCGCACTACTGGGGGGCGCCGTTCGACGGCACGAATGCCCCGAATCTGCGGCCAATAGAGGAGCGCGCGCGAGCACAGATACTCGATCATTCACTCGCGAAGTCGCGAGCACAACATGTGATCGACCACGCGAACGCCGAGCTGCCATGGAAAACAACGCATGAGTTTATCGAAGCAATCGCCGCGCTGAGCGCGTTGGTTCCAGAAGAGCTTGCTCGCCGCACCCACGTGAATAACGTTCAACTGGAGAGGTTGCTTTAGAATGCGACTGCCTCAGCTCGCATGCAATGGTTCTTCAATTATCAGCGATTTAGGCATTCCTTGCCGGCGGCGCGCTTAGCCCTGTTGGGGTCTGGCACGTCCGTCAACGAATCCTTCAACCACGAGATCAACACGTGGTTTCGCAACCAGGGGGACATCTACGCTTCGACGGCGGAGCTTCAACTTAGGATTGGATTTTTGGGGAAGCTGCAAGCCCACAGTTGCGCGCTGCATTCGCCGACGCTGCGGCAGCTGCGACAGGCCAACGTGCTATCGCGAAGCATTATGGCCTGGGCTTTCCCCGGGGATGATTGGAAGAGTTACTGCGCGCTCCAGGCGCAATGCGGCACCGACGCCCTGGCGCCTGCACGGCTCCCGCTCCGCGAAGCCCGACAGAGAGTCGCGCGGCTGATTGCCGAACGCGCCGCGTGCGTTCGGGGGAAGCCAGCGGCGCGCGAGACCGCGCCCGTTGGGCGGCGTGCTGCTCAGAGGAAGCCCGCTGCAAGGGCGCTCTTGGACAGTCTGCGCGATCGTAAAGTGCCTAGGATCAAGAGGACAGCCTTCACTTTGAAGCGCAAGCCAGCGTCGCGCAGGGCCTCTAGCCAGGCTCACGCCGCGCGCACTTGCCAGCGGTGACTGATGCCGATGTGCCTTCTCTTCGTCAGCGTAAATGCTTCCATTCCGTACCCTTCCTCTCTCCCGATGCTCACTTCCTCTGAGTCATTATCGGGGCCATGTCTTCCTTTGAGCCTTGAGCCTCGAGGGCATATTTCCATAGGCGCGTGATCCCAGATGTCGCCACGACAGTGGCCATATAATCTGTTGATTTTTCCCCCGAGCTGCGCACCCGCCACTCCGGGGGAAAAATGCACGGCGCGAGTTCTACAGTCTCGACGCCTGGGCCGTCGTAGTAGGAGGAAGCGAGGAGGCCACAACGACGCTCGCCACAACGACGGCGAAAGTCATGGCGATGATGATGGCGATGATGATTTGCTGGCTGCGATGATGACGAGATTGACGATGATGGCGATGAAGGTGCGTAGCAGGAGCAGGACGAGGATGAGAAAGAGAAAGAGCAGGAGGATTATCAGGAGGATGTGGGAGGGCGCGGCAATTGTCCGGAAAAGCCCCTGGTGGACAATTGCAACAAAACGGCCCAAGACGGCGTTCACAACCGGCGGGCGCCCACTCACCATCATCATCATCATCATCATTTTCATCATGACCATCGTCGTCGCCGTCATCATGATCACCCGCATCACCAGCATCACCAGCATTATCATCATCATCGTCATCATCCTCATCATCATCATCGTAATCATCATCATCATCATCAGCATCATCACATTCGTTTTCATGTTCGTGTTCACTAGCACCACGCGCGTGCTTCGGTTCTAGCAACTTCCAGCCCTTGACAATCTCACAGCTGCGTGCAAATGCGCACGCACACATGCAACGTCACGAGTTACCCACAAGTGGTTCGAACATGAGGTGAATGAGAAAGAGAAAGAGCAGGAGGATTATCAGGAGGATGTGGGAGGGCGGGGAGAGAGAATAGAACAGTCTGCGGAAATCGTGACGAAGAGGAAGAGAAAAGGATCGATACAAGGAGAGGTTGAGGAAAAGTAAGATAACGAGGATGTGTCTTAATCAAAAGGAATAAGGTATAGCAGAAAAGACGGGAGGAGGGTAGTGACGGAGTGTGATCATGAGAAAGAGAGGGAACGCACATTATACCACAATGATCCCCTCACATATATATATATATATATATATATATATATGTGTGTGTGTGTGTGTGCACGACCTTCGGCCCATCCCGCCACAGGGCCTGGGTTGTGGGTATGAAGCCTATGTGATGTTCGTTGGGATCTGGTGGGGGGCCTCTCGGGGGCCTCTTGGCAGCAGGTTGGGACGCCTCTTGGGGACCGTTTGGGGGCCTCTAGGGGCATTTTGGGGGGCTTTTGGGGGGGTTCCTGGGACCTCTTGAGGGCCTCTTGGGGCCTCCTGGGCGCCTCTCGGGGCCTCCTGGGGGCCTCTTGGGGCGGAAGGCTCGGATTTTCGGGTCGTGTTTCGGGGCCGACTTTGGGCCCTCCTGGGCCGTCTAAGGCGCCCCGTGGGTTGTCTGAGGGGCCTTCTTGGACCGTGTTGGTGCCCTCTTGGAGGCCTCTTGGGCCGTCTTGGGGCGGTTTTGTGGGCCTCTAGGGCCTTCTGAGAGCGCCGGGAAGCCGAAAAGACGAGAACGCCGAGATCTTGCAAAAGCCTGAAGAAAATCAATGACTCTGGCATCATGGGCCCTCTTGGGAGACTTCTTGGAGGCCTCTTTGGGCGTCTTGGAGGCTTCTTGGGCTGTCTGGGGGCCATGTGGGGCGTCTTGGAGCGTTCGTTCGGCGACTCGGGGCCCTCTTGGACCGTCTTGGGGGTTTCTTGGGGCCCTCTTGGCCCGTCTTGGGGCCCTCTTGGGCCCGAAACATTCATGCGACAAGACGCTGGGAAGCCGCGGGTCGCCCCAGAAGATTTGGCCCGAGAGGCTCCGAACCCATTAAGAACTCCTCAGAAGAAACGACTGAGGCTCAGAGGGGTAGTGGAAGAACCTGAGGACATGCCCGCTGCGTGCCCAGCGGCACGGTGGCGGATGTATGTATATGTGTATATATATACACACAAATATACATGTTTATATGTGTATGTGTACGTGTACGTGTACGTGTATATGTATGTGTATGTGTATGGGTATGTGTATGGGTATGGGTATGGGTATGTGTATGTGTGTATGTGTATATGTATGCATGCATCCATACATGGTTGTTAGTTTGTTTGTTGTTTGGTTGTGTGCTTGATTATGTGTTGGTTTGCGTGTGTTTGTATGTGTCTGCATGTATATATAAAAGTATAAACATGTGCAATAAACATGTGCACGTGCATTTAGATATCTACGGATGCACTTACAGAAAAACACTCAGCTAGATATACCTATGCAGATGCACAAACATACATATATACACGTACACATAAATAGATATCGATATAGACGTATATCTATATATATATGTGTACGTGTGTACATACACACATGCATACATATACACATACACAGACACATACACATACAGAGACACGTAGACAAATCGAAAGCAGCAACAAAAGCGAAACAACTAGCCTGGCGAAGGACCCAACCATATGCAGTTGCGCGCACCGTCGTTGTATGCACTGCATTCGGAGGAGCTCCCTACAGGGCCACAAAATTTGTGAGGGGTGTGGCAAAATGGGTGCGGTGGGCGCATGCGAACGTAGCCACTGGGGCTGTCGGTGGCGCTGCCTATGGGGCTACGAAACGTGTGAGGGGTGTGCCGAAATAGGTGCTGTGGGCGCATGCGAACGCAACGATTGGGGCCGTCGGTGGAGCTCCCCATGGGGCCGCGAAACGTGTGAGGGGTGTGCCGACATGGGCGCGGTGGACGCATGCGAACGCAACCAATGGGGCCAGTTGTGGAGCTCCCTTTGGGGCCGCGAAACGTGTGAGGGGTGTGCCAAAAATGGGCGCGGTGGGCGCATGCGAACGCAACCACCAGGGCCGTCTGGTGGCCCTTTATGGGGCCACGAAACGTGCGAGGGGTGTGCCAAAATGGGTGCGGTGGGCGCATGCGAACGCAATCATTGGGGCCGTCGGTGGAGCTCCCTATGGGGCCCCGAAACACGCAAAGATTGTGCCAAAATGGGTGCGATGGGCGCATGCGAACGTAGCCACTGGGGCCGTCGGTGGAGCTCCCTATGGGCCACGAAGCTGCCAAAATGGGTGCGGTGGGCGCGTGCGAACGCAGCCAGTGGGACCGTCGGTGGAGCTCCCTATGGGGCCACGTGACGTGCGCGGGGCGTGCCAAAGATGGGCTCGGCGGGCGCATGCGACCGCAGCCATTGGGGCCGCCGTTGGAGCTCCCTCTGGGGTGCCGAGATGGTCTCGGTGGGCGCATGCGAACGCAGCCACTGGAGCCTTCGGTGGAGATGTCTATGGGACCACGAAACGTGTGAAGGGTGTGCCGACATGGGTGCGGTGGCCGCATGCGAACGCAGCCACTGGAGTTTTCGGTGGCGCTGCTTTATGGGGCCACGAAACGTGTGAGGATTGTACCGAAATGGGTGCCGGCCGGCGCATGCGAACGCCGCCACTGGAGCCTTCGGTGGAGCTGGCTATGGGGCCACGAAGCGTGTCAGGGGTGTGCCGAAATGGGTGCGGTGGGCGCATGCGAACGCAATTATTGGGGCCGTCGGTGGAGCTCCCTACAGGGCCACAAAATTCGTGAGGGGTGTGGCAAAATGGGCGTGGTGGGCGCATTCGAACGTAGCCACTGGGGCTGTCGGTGGCGTTGCCTATGGGGCTACGAAACGTGTGAGGGGTGTGCCGCAATGGGTGCGGTGGGCGCCTGCGAACGCAGCCACTCGGGCTTTCGGTGGAGCCCCCACATGGGGCCATGAAGCGCTGTGCTGGGCGGGGGAAACACTGGGAGGAGGGAGGAGGGGGAGGAGGAAGAGGAGTGAGGAGGAGGAGGAGGAGGAGGAGGAGGAGGAGGAGGAGGAGGAGGAGGAGGAGGAGGAGACGCGGGGCGCTGTCTCTCCAAAACGAGGACCCAACACCACAGGATGGTTGGGAACAAGACTCGGCGATGCCTTTCCCAGGGGATCGCCGCCTGCCGACACCGCCCCCCCCCAGGGGGCACAGGCACGCGCAAGCGGCCCCCGCGGACGCCCGACAGCCAGCGGGGCCGCGCCCCCGGATGGAGCCACAGGGGGGCCAGAGCGGCGGAGGCCGAGAGCCGTCTCGCACCGAGGAGGTCCGGAGGCCCGGGCGCAGCCGTGGGAGCACCCGCGGCACTTGACGCCGTGTGGTCACCGTGCGTGTCGGCGCGGTGGGCTGCCTCCTCCGCCGTCCGCGGCGGCGGCGGCCTGCGACAGGTTCGCGTCGTGTCGACGCGGCGGCCCGCCGCAGGCATTCATGATTGAACGCCGCCGCTGGGCGTCCGATGTCGAAAACTCTGGCGATCGAAAAGCCGCAGACTGGTCAAGGATGAACGATCCACGCGGTGTCAGAAATCAACCCCGGGGTGATCACGATACGAACATGCCGTAGGCGTCGGGACAGTGCGCGTTGCAGTCCACCATCATGGCCAGCGGCAGCGGCGGCGGCAGCAGCTGCGGGAGAACCGCGCATGTGGCTGGATTGCTCCCGTCATGTGGCGACTGCCGCCGTCGATCTGCATGCCATCGGTACTCCTCGACTCGCCGTGCGTGGCGAGGAGGGCGGCCTGGCTGTGCTGCTGTGCCAGCGTGGCGAGGGAGGACGAGGCCGCCCGCTGCCTACCGATGACGGCTCGAAGCTTGTCGACAGTAGCGTCGAGTTCGTCGCGTGGGCGCGAGCCGCGGTCGCCGCAGGTGCAGCAGCTTGCGACGCCGCTGCCTCGTCGCCAGGAGGTTGTCGCCAACAGCATGAGGAGGCTAGGCCCCTGCGGCCTGGGCCGGCACGGCGGGCGGCCCCTGCGGCGGGGCGCTCGGGCCTCCACCTGGCGCGGAGCCGTCGCAGTCGTCCTGCGTCGTCTCCGAGCACCAGGTCGGGGCGGGCCTCGCCGGGGCCGTCGTTTCCCGCACCATCCCCGAGGTCGAGCGGGTCACTAGCGGCTTGCACGTCGGCTTCGGCGACGGCGCCTCTCCTCCAGGGCGGCCGGCAGCGGAGCGGCGCGCGGCAAATCGGCCCCGGGCGTGCGATGCATGGCGGCAAGCTCGCCTTGGGTGCAGCCAGCGCGCCAGTGCGGCAGTGGCAGGATACGGGCACGAAGATCGCACGTCGTGAGCGCAGCCGCGAGCTGGCGGCGCTTCATTGAGACCGCGACAGCGCTGGGCGGCAAGTGATACTGCTCGACGGTCGCCGCGGCGAGCTCGGTCCACCTTGCGGACCTCGCCTGCTTTCAGTGCTGTCAGACGCGCAACTGACGCTTTCCTGCACCCCTGGGGGTCCAGCAGAGTAGTGGCGCGGGTCCACCGTTGGGTTCAGCCAAACGCGTTGGTCGGCTTGGGTATGTCCGTCTTTGCTTCGATCACCCAGCCTCGGAACTGGAACCCTCCGATGAAAAATATTGGCCCAGCTGTTTCGCGTATCCCCGCCAGCCCATCCGATTATTCTGGCGAAAGACCCAAGCATATGCAAGTTTGGGTACCGCAAAACAGGGGATACTAAGGAAGAAGGAGCTCCTTGTGGGGCCACGAAACGTGTGACGGGGGCGCCGAAATGAGCGGTGGATGCATGCGAACCTTGACACAAGAGCCTTTGGTGGAATTCCCTTTGGGGCCACGACACTTGTGAGCTGCATGCTGACATGGGCGGGAGGACGCATGCGAACCTTGCCACAAGAGACCTCGGTGGAGCTCCCTGTGGGGCCACGAGACGTGTAAGGGGTGCGCCGAAAATGGCCGGGGAACGCATGCGTGCTTTGCCATAAGAGCCTCTGGTGGAGCTCCGTGTGGGGCCACGAAACGTGTCAGGGGTGCACCCAAATAAAAGTGGGGACGCCTGCAGACTCTCCCACAAGGGCCGTCGGTGGAGCTCCCTGTGGGACCACGAAACGCGTGAAGGGGGCGCCGAATTGGGCGGAGGGGCGCACGCGAACCTTGCCACAAGGGCCATCGGTGGAGCTTCCTGTGAGGCCACGAAACGTGTGAGGGGTGTGGGTGTGTGTGTGTGTGCGTGTGTGTGCGTGTGTGTGCTGAGAGGCGTGGGCGAAAGCATGCGGACTTTGCCACAAGGGTCATCGGTGGAGCTGCATGCTGGGGCCACGAAACATATGAGGGGGGGGCCGAAACTGGCGCGACGCCCACGTGCGAACAGTGCCACTGGGGCCTTCGGTGGAGCTCCCTTTGGAGCCACGAAGCGAGTGAGTGGTGTGCCGACAAGGGTACGAGGCCCACATGCGAACGGTGGTGCCATTGGGGCTTTCGGCGCAGTTCCTTATGGGGCCACGAAACGTGTGAGGGGTGTGCTGAAAAGGGTATCACGCCCACATGCGAACGTTGCCAGTGGAGCCTTCGGTGGAGCTCCTTGTGGGGTCACGAAACGCGTGAGGAGTGTGCCGACAAGGAGTGCGACGCCCACATGCGGACAGTGCCATTGAGGTATTCAGTGGAACTGCTTATGGGGCCACGAAACGTTGAGTTGTGCCGACAAGGGTGCGACGCCCACATGCGAACGGTGTCATTGGAGCTTTCGGGGGAGCTTCCCATGGGGCCACGAACCGTGTGAGGGGTGTGCCTAAAGGGGAACGACGCCCACATGGGAGCGGTGCCATTAGGGGCTTCGGTGGAGCGACCTTTGAGGCCACATAACGTATGAGGGTTGTACCGAAGAGGGTGCGACGTCCGCACGGGAGCGGTGCCATTGGGGCGTTCGGTGGAGCTCCCCATGAGGCCACGCAACGTATGAGAGGTGTGCCGAACAAGGGGTGCGACGCCCACATTCGAGAAGTGCCATTGAGGTCTATTGTCGAGCCCCCTTATGTGGCCACGGAAAGTGTGAGAGGTATGCCGGAAATGTGGTGCGACGTCCACATGCGAACACTGCCATTGGGGGTTTTCGGTGGAGCCCCCGTACGGGTCTACGAAACGTGTGATGAGGTGTGCCGAAATTGGCGTGGCGGCCTAGGGCCGATGAAGTTGAGGCTCAAGGTGACGATGTCGGTGACGATGGTGATGTTGGTGTAGATGACGTTGACGGTGACGGCGGTGATGGTGATGATGATGGTGATGGTCATAAAGAAGATATTTGTGATGGTGATCATGGTGCTGGAGGTGGTGACAGGTGTTGTTGATGGTGATGGTGATGGTGACGGCGATGCTTGTGATGGTGATGATGGTGGTGGTGATGATGATGCTGACGATGGTAATGATGACGATCGTGGAGGTGATGATGCTGCTGGTGGTGATGGTGATGGTGATGGTGATGGTAGTGCTGCTGTTGGTGGGGGTGATGGTGATGTTGATGATGCTGATGATGGTGGCGATGGTGGTGCTGGTGATGGTGATGATGGTGTTGTTCGTGATGGACGAGATGATGATGCTGAGTATGGTGGTAATGGTGCTGATGTTGAAGTTGGTGGTGGTGGCGACAATGATGGTGATGATGATGGTGATGATGCTGATGCTGATGATGATGACGGTGACGATTGCGATGATGTTGGTGATGGTGTTGATGGTGGTGTTGGCGATGGTGGTGATGATGATGATGGTGATGATGATGATGATGGTGGTGGCGATGACGATGATGATGGTGATGTTCATGATGACGGTGATAACGACGATGGTGGTTGTGGTGACGATGATGGTGGCGTTGATGCTGATGAAGATGATGAGAGTGACGGTGGTGATAATGGCGATGCTGATATTGGTGATGACGGTGATGGTGATGATATTGATGGTGATGGTGATGATGAGTATGCTGACGATGATGATGAAGATGATGTAGATGGTGATGGTGATGGTGATGATGGTGGTGGTGATAGTGATGGTGGTGATGATAATTATGATGATGACGAGGCTGGTGCTGATGATGACGAAAATGGTGATGATGATGGTGATGATGGTGATGGTGGTGACGATGATGATGCTGATAATAATGATGATGAGGATGGTGATGACGATGATGATGACGGTGAGGGTGATGGAGATGGTGATGGTGGTGTTGACGTTGATGATGGCTGTGGTTATGATACAAATAATGATGATGGTGATGATGGTGATGATGGTGGTGATGGTGATGGTGATGATGTTCATGATGATGACGATGATGATGATGGTGACGATGATGATCGTGATGGTGGTGTTGATGATGATAATGATGATGATGGTGATGATGATGGTGATGATGATGATGGAGATGGTGATGGTGATGGTGATGATGATGGCGACGACGATGGCGATGGCGATGACGACGATGACGATGACGATGATGACTATGATGGTGATGAGGACGTGCGGAGGGCCGAGGCAGGGACGAGAGGGGGAGGGGGCAGCGGGAGGTGCGAGGGAGATGCGGGGAGTTGTCTGTTTCAGAACAAGGACCCAGCACCGTAGGATTGTTGGGAAAACGATTTCCAGGCGAGTTGTTCTGATCAGGGACGTGTAGCAACATGCAGTCATGCTCTGCGAGCATATTGGGACCATCGTAAGGCCATATCGGGACCGTCTTGGGGCCATTTTGTAGGCCTCTGGGGCTCTCTTGGGCCTCTTGGGGCTCCCTTGGGGTTCTCCTGGGGCCCTCGTGGGGGGCCTCTTGGGGCCATGTTGGAGGACATCGATCACAGAAAGGTACTCGGAATGTGAGCCCCCCCGTCGCGGCTCTCAAGATCGCCTCTCGGGGCCCTCTTGGGCCCCACTTGGACCGCTCTGGGGGCTCTCTTGGGCCATCCTGGAGCCATCTTGGCGCCTCAAGAGCCCATCTGAAGCGAATAGTCGGAACACACACACACACACACACACACACACACATTGAGGGCATGCTTGAAGTTATAATCAGCCACCTTGGTTTACTTGCTGCGATCTTGGAGGCCATCTTGGGCTATATTGGGTTCCCCCGGGGCCAAATTGGACCCCCAAACGACCCGCAACAGGGCCCGTCCAGACCCAGGGCGAGAGGGTAGGGGGAGAGGTAAACAGCTCCCCAAAGGGAAAGAGGAGGTTGGCAGAACTAACACCTTAAGACACTTACGCCTAAAGCGCTATTGGGATTCTCTCACACCGTCCCCAGATAGGCCTCCGAGAGGAAGACAGGGGTAGAGGAGGAGGAGGAGGAGGAGGAGGAGGAGGAGGAGGAGCAGGAGGGGAGGAGGAGGAGGAGGAGGAGGAGGAGGAGGGGCACCTGTGCCGCTCCTGTTTGCCCGTAGGGGCCAGGAGGAAAACAGGCGGGCAGCAGTCCGATCGTCACCCTTGTTTGCCCGTAGGGGCCAAGGGGAGAGACAATTGCTTTCGTCGCCGCGGCCACCCATGGAGTAGGTGGTGGGTAGGTTGGGCGTCGGAGCACGGCTCAGGCGTTCCCTACCCCGAACAGGGAGCGCGGAGCACGGTCTCCTTGCGTTCCCTATTCGCGCTTTGAGCACGCCACGGGGGCATGGCCTTGGACTGTTGGCGCTGCTCTTCTTCGGCCCCCTGCTCGTCCCCTTAGCAGGTGGTCGTCTGCTCCTCTCTGCGAGGTCTTTGGGGCGCGTGGAGCTCAAAAAAACATCCCGGCAAAGCAACCTAACAGCGATGTGTATAAGCATCTCTGGAAGCATTCCCCTTAAGATTCAGGTGATAATCCAGTTGTAGAATTCCGATGTTCTCGCAGTCGCAGTCGCATTCGCATTCGCAATGACAGTCGCAGTGGCAACGGCCTTAGGATCCACTTGAATTATTTGGATTCCTTGGGATTCCTAAGGCATCCTTAGGCATCCATAGGAATCCTTAGGAAACCTTATGAATCCTTAAAAATCCTTAGGACTCCTGATCCCTTGGGATTCCTAAGGATTCCTGAGGAATCCCCAGGATTCCTAAGGATTCCTGAGGATGCTTAACTCTGCCTACGGAATCCTAAGGATTCCTATGGATTCTTATGGATTCCTACGGATGCCTCAGCCTGCCTCAGTTTCAGCCTCAGCCTCAGCCTGCCTCGGCTTGCCTCAGCCTCAGCCTCAGCCTGCCTCAGCCTCAGCCTGCCTCAGCCTCAGCCTGCCTCAGCCTCAGCCTCAGCCTCAGCCTCAGCCTGCCTCGGCCTCAGCCTTGCGTCAGCCTCAGCTGTCTCAGCCTGCCTCAGCCTCAGCCTCAGCCTCAGCCTCAGCCTCAGCCTCAGCCTCAGCCTCAGCCTCAGCCAGCCCAGCCTTGCCTCGGCTTGCCTCAGCCTCCGCCTCAGCCTCCTCAGCCTCAGCTTCAGCTGCCTCAGCCTCAGCCTCAGCCTGCCTCAGCCTGCCTCAGCCTCAGCTTCAGCCTGCATCAGCCTCAGCCTCAGCCTCAGCCTGCCTCAGCCTCAGCGTCAGCCTCTCAGCCTCAGCCTGCATCAGCCTCAGCCTCAGCCTGAGCCTGCCTCAGCCTCAGTCTCAGCCTGCCTCAGCCTCAGCCTGCCTCAGCCTCATCCTCAGCCTCAGTTTTGGGCCTCAGCCTCAGCCTGCCTCGGCTCCTCAGCCTGCCTCATCTTGTCTCTCCTCATCTTCAGCCTCAGCCTCAGCCTCAGCCTCAGCCTGCCTCGGCTTGCCTCAGCCTCAACCTCAGCCTGCCTCGGCCTCAGCCTGCCTTGGCCTCAGCCGTGCCTCAGCCCCCCCCTTCCCCCCCTCCCCATTCCCCTCCCCCCCCTTCAGCCCTCACCTTGTCTCAGCTTCGGCCTGCCTCGGCCTCATCCTCAGCTTCAGCCTCAGTCTCAGCCTCAGCCTGTCTCGGCCTGAGCCTGCCTCGGCCTCAGCCTCAGCCTGCCTCAGCCTCAGCCTGCCCCAGCCTCAGCCTGCCTCAGTTTCAGCCTCAGCCTCAGCCTGCCTCGGCTTGCCTCAGCCTCAGCCTCAGCATGCCTCGGCCTCAGTCTGCCTCGGCCTCAGCCTGCCTCAGCTCGGGCATTCAAAGTATGGCACAGGACTCGTGCTCTGGGAACACGAAATCACGAAGTGGCAAACAGTTGGCTCCGAACAAGCAAAATATACTACAGAAGTGGTGTTTTGGGAAAACGAAAAACACGAAGTGGCCTACAGCTGGCTCCGGGCATTGAAAATGTGGCCTGGGAATGGTGTTCTGGGAGCACGAAGAACACGAAGTGGCCTACAGCTGGCTCCGGGCATTCACAATGTGGCCTGGGAGTGGTGTTCTGGGAAGACGAAGAACACGAAGTGGCCTACAATTGGCTCCGGGCATTCAAGATGTGGCCTGGGAATAGTTTTCTGGAAGCACGAAAAACACGAAGTGGCTTAGAGTTGGTTCCGGGCATTCACAATGTGGCCTGGGATAATGTTCTGGGGAATCCCCGGTTTTCCCCGGCATCCCCCGGATCCTGCCCAGACCCCCTTGGGGAATCAGGATGCCCTCTTTTTGACCCCACTAGAAACCTATCCGCGGTGCAAAAACAAAACCCCCTAGTCTTCGCTGTTAGGTAGAAAGAGGAGGAGGAGGAGGAGGAGGAGGAGGAGGAGGAGGAGGAGGAGGA